TAAATAAATAAATTCTTCAAAAATAAAAAAAAACATACTCTGACTCTCTCTGAATTTTACGATTGAGAAGTTAAAATTTTAGAGCTTAAAAAAACCCTATAATTAAATACATTTTTTTAGTTAATAAATCATCATAAATTTTTGGAAAGGAAATAGTTTAAATAATAAGGCACAATGGTTAGACAGAAAATTATTTAAATGATTCTCTTTGTGTTCAGGAACACTTTGTTTTCCTATATCACTTCAACTTTCTATTTGTAATTGCAATACTTGGAGGAACCTTTTACATTGCAATTATGCACTAAAACGTATGCACTGGGTCCTCTGTACTTTCATGAGAAACAACAAACTCCAGTAATCAACAGAGGATATGAAACTATCTAAATAATTTTCCTGAACTTTATTAATCACAGAGTTTCAGAAATAGGTCAAAAGAGATGTAAAAAAGATACTTGAAAACATCTACTAATATCATATGATACTGTTCTTAGATCAGTGTCACACTTCCTTATTTTCTTGCAAGGTTCTAGTAACTATGCAGGGTACAAAATTATGCTGAAATGATATACTAGGTACAGTATTCTATTAATTTCCTCAATTCCATAAATGAAATTGATTCCACATACACTCTATGTATAAATTTCCAATGCATCTAAAAGGAGAGAGTGGCTGTTTTTTGGGGCCACAGATTAGTTCTCAGTCACTGGATATTTAAAGTGGTATATGTTGATGTATGAGCAGGAAGTAGCAAGATATTTTCTTTCTGGCATTTTTTGTCAAAATACTTGAACCACAGTAATCAAAAGGACGCATGCCATTAACTCCACCAGTAGTCAGAAGTTTGGCCTTGCACTTTTTGGAATAAAATACTTAGGAATTAATGAAGACATTTATATTTATAATGGTTATAAAAGAAATGTAGATAAGAAAAATCATAAAATGTAAGTACTGATAAGCCAATTATTAAAAAAATTCTGTACTTTTTATGTTTAAAATATATGTTAAAATCCCATATGAAGTCACTTGGATTTTTTACAAAATAATAATTGGTTAGTACTTTTATAATTCCTGAATAGTTATTCTGGAAGAATGACAAAATTTTATTCATATTAAATTTTCACTAGGCTATGTTTTAGAGATGGACTTATTCTATTAAAATGGTAATTTCCCAAAGGAAAAATTCAAGTCAGGAACTAGTATAATAAATATGATTATAGCTTGCAGCTCTGATATCTAAAACAAATTTTCAAGTACAAACCAAAGGCCACTTATTTCAGAAATTTGTTTTCATCTTTTTTGGTTGTTGTTTATTTAATTGTATTATGTTTAATTAATTTAATGTCAGTATACTGCACCTATATAATTTAGAGATATAAGTTCACATCTCTTCAGCTGATTGTCACACATCATACCCAAAACCAAAACACCCAAAGCACTACTGTTAATCATGTATACTCTACTTGGATTAAACCTTGTTTAAAATGTTCTATTTTAACCACTCTTCTTTAATGTTTTGCTGTTGATACTAAATAGAGAAATAAAAAACTGAATTTAGGTGACAAAATTACTAATTCCAAAGTTTATATGGAGAGCGAAAATACCCAGAACAGTAAACAGAATACTGATGTAAGAACAAAATCTGAGAACTAACAGTACACAACTTCAAGCCTTATCCATGCTGCAGAAATTAAGTTTGTTATTGGCAAAAATAGACAACTATATTAATGGAATGGATAAAGAGCACAGGGGTAGAACTACATAAACATACTCAACTAATATTTGAGAAAGGAACAAAAACGCAAAGGAGTAAAGACAGTTTTTTCAACAAATTGCATAGCTCAACTGATGTTCACATATGAAAAAATGAGCTTAGACAGAGAACTTACACTCTTCACAACAACCAACTCAAAATAGAGAACAGACCTAAATGTAAAATACAAAACTATAAAATCTTAGAAAATAACATAAAAGACAATATAAACAGCTAAGGATTTGATGATGACTTTTTAGATAGAACACCAAAGACATGACCCATGAAAGAATTAATGGCTGAGCAGGATATCATTAAAAATGAAAACTCTGGGGCTCCCTGGTGGTGCAAGGGGTTAAGTCTCTAGCAACCACTGCAGCTAGAGTTAGATTCTGCCCAGGGAGGAATCTCTCCTGTCTTGCCAGCTGCTCCCCTCAGCAGTATATTTCAGTAGATCCACCTGTTTTGTTCCCCACTCTGTCTCTGGTGAATCCTCTTACCTCCCCACTCCTCTGGCCTACTGGGATCCCAGCTCTTGCATGCATAAAGAAATAAAATAAATCTTTAAAAAAATGAAAATTTCTGTTCTGCAAAAGACAAAATCGTGAGAATAAGGATTTAAGCCACAGACTGAAAGAAAATATCTGCAAAAGATATATCTGAAAAAGGACAGTTATCTAAAATAAACAAAGAACTCTTAGAGTTCAATGAAGAGAAAACAAATAGCCTGATTGGAAAAAAAAAAAGTCAAAGCCTTTAATAGACATCGCATTAAAAAAAGACATATAGATGGCAAACAAGCACATTAAATGGTGTTCCACATCATACATTATCAGGAATACAAATTAAAATAATAATGATATACCAATACACATCTATTCAAGTAGTGAAAATCAGAATGACAAAACACTAAATGCTAGGGAGGATATGGAAAAAAAAAGAAATCTTATTCATTACTAGGGGGAGTGTAAAATAATACAGCCACTTTGAAAGATAATTTGGCAATTTCTTATAAAACTAGTGTAACCTTAACAGAAGATCCAGCAATCATGTTCCTCAGGTACTTATTTACTCAAATGAGCTGAAAACTACATACAGATATTAAATAGTTTTATGCATAACTTAGAAGCCAAAACTTAGAAGCAATAGGCAAATGGATTTAAAAAAAACCTGGAATGTCCAGACAATAGAATATTATTCAGTGCTAAAATGAAATAGGATCTATAGCCATGAAAAGATAAGGAGGAACACCCAACGCATATTACTAAGTTAAAGCAGTCAATGGTAAAAGACTGTGCACTATGACTTCAACTATGTGACATTCTGGAGAAAGCATAGCTATGAGAATTGTGTAAGTGTCAGTACTTGCAATGGGTTAGTGGGCCAGGAGGGATGAAAAGGCTAGATACAGAGGTTTTTTAGGACAGGAAATGATCAGTAATAGTGGATATATTCCATTATTCATCAGTCAAAACTCATAAAATATACAAACTATGAGTGGAACTATAGTATGAACTATGAATTTTGGATGATAATGATGTTTCAATGTGTTTTCATCAATTGTAACAAATATATGACTGTGGAATATGCTGGTAATGAAAGAGGCTATTCTGTGAGTGCAGGTAGTATATGGGAAATCTGTGTATCTTCTCAATTTTGCTGTAAACCTAAAACTGCTCTAAAAATAGTTGATACAAAGTTCTAATTCAGAGTAGTATTAAATTTTCAAAAGAGTTTCCTTTAATTAAGGAGTGCATCAAAACATTTGTTTTTGAAACTTAATTAGCTATCACTGAAATGTTTATGTTTGTGAGTACTTTTTTTAAGATGGGACATGGTAATATCTTCTTTTCTGAATCAAATGATACATTAACATATCAAGAAACAAGATGCATTCTTAACACATTACTTACACTCTGTTAAGAATGCATCTTTTTTTTTTCAGAGTCAAATTATAATTACCAGGAATCTTTGCAATTAAAAAAATACTTATCCTCTAAGTGCATATATTTTATCTTACTTTATTGAAACTTCGTCTTAAACAGCAAGAGTATGAATGTTGAATAACCATGACTTAATTATGAGAATGCAATTTAACTGCTCACAGAATAACATAATCCAAGAAATGGTCTAAAGGCTTTAAAAAGGAAATGGTAAATCATTGAAGGAGAATATCTCAATAATAAAACAAAACTAAAGCGCAATAGCCCAGTCTTAATCACAGTACATAAAGCAAACTACATTTAGCATAAGACTTGGTAACTTTTTCTTTTAGAACTTCTAGCCATTATATTTAGTTATTCCTCTGAACTTGTCCTACCTTTCCAATTCTATTGAATTTTCCATACATCTTTATCATCTAATGAGTAAATTAACCAAAAAGTATAGTTGGTCCTCATGTCTTTGTGATTGTCTCTCTCTTTTACCTGATGAGGTTATTCTTGTTTTAAAAGAAGAGATATGTGAGATACACTTTTAAGACATCCTTGATAACCTGAGGGACAAATTCTACATACTATTTTGCCATAGAAGTTTACGTATTTTTATAAAACTCTTCTTCAATTTTATACTTACAGTAACTAACAGTAGATATTTAATAAATATAATTATAATTTATCTTTACATTATCTATTTTACATACTGATATGTGTGCATCACTGAGTTGGTCATTTGCCACTTTTAAACAAGAGTCTAGTCCTTAGCTTTTCTTCTAAGTTTGTGTTAATGTAAAGGAAATGTTGAATTAATTCATAAATATGGCATTTCTGACTTCTGGGAAGACACATTAAGACATATTATTTCAACTAGCCTTCTCTATCACTAGTCAGTCTCTTAACTTCAGATGGGACTTAATCGCCGCCTAAATACATCTATCATTTATACTTCCACAATATCACCCACTAGCCATTTAGCACTTCTGTTGGTATATTTCTATCCCAAATTCATCAGTTTTACTATGAATTCTTATTATTCTTTAACACAGAAAAAATATAAAACTCAGTAGTTTTTGTGATCCAACAAAAATAAGTGTCAAGTTCAACAATTTGCTTTTTCAAGAACGATAATAAGCTAATTAAGCTAAAATAACATAGTGCATGAGCAAAATTTCAACTTGATGAATAGAGTAACCATGATAAAATAATGAAAACATATATCTATTGGGAGCTCTAAATGGGTTCCTTTCTGTCTAGGGAAAATGTTTTGTTATGTGTTCCAATGTGCGAAGGACAGACTGGTCCTTTCCACTTACCCTCTGACAGCATGAATAAGTCTCAATGATGGATAGGCAGTTCGCACTTTCAGTTTATTCTTAAGGATTAGTGCATTAACCCACTCCACGTGCTTCTCTCCTCCTTTGACCATGAACGCAGGGATCCAAAGGACACTGTCATTCAGCATGGAAAGTCTATGCACAAATTTTTCTCTGTCACTCTCATTCCGAAAGCCTCCAAATGCTCTTTGTACAACTGATGGATTCATGGTAATAAAGTCTGATTTAGTACCCACATCTGCAGCAAACTCCACCACAGGGGCTAGATTACACCTGAAGAGGAAAAAAATTAAAGGACAAATGAAAAATAAAATCAAATATTTCATTCTTAAATGCTGTGCATGAAAAGCAGAATGGGGAATGAATATGCTTTTTTTTTTACTAAGTAGGGAAAAAAGGATTATTTGTCTAGTAAAATTATATTATCAATAATCACCACCCACTCAGGAATATTGCCTTCGATAAGGATGCACCCCAAGAATAGGACTTATATTGTCATTGATATTAATTCGAAGTGTTGTGTAAGAATACTCTGCTTTACCTTCATAAAACCACATGATATGAATTACTAATAAGTGAATTTATGAAGGCAAATTCATAAGGGCTCTGTTGCCTTGAAGTAGGGAATCTCAACTACATGCTCTTCTGTGAGCAAATAAAGCACATTAGACTAATACACAATCTTCATCACTTGTCAAGTTTAATTCATTTCAAAAACTCTATAAGCATTAGTAAATGAAGATGATTTTCTGTACTACAAGGCCAAGAGAAAAGCACGATTCCTTATAGCATTTTCCACAAATATATTTGCAATTGCCTTCTATAGGCCTAAATGGGAAAGAAAGGTAAGAAAATACAGTTAACACATTTAATACGCCTTTTGGGAATGTTAAGTAATGCAGGAAAGTCCCTACATAAGATCAAATATTTTTCTGTTCTTTTCAATGACATTCTCTAAATGCAAGTTTTTTCCTGCTAAATGCCATCTACGCCCTTTGGGGAAGGGACAGACTTTGTCTTCTTTTCTTCACTGACACTCCAAGAGCCTTGCAAAGCACTTGGGGCTGATTTTATTCTTGTAAACTGATTTCATTCTTGTATTACAAGAACAATTTGGAAAGCACCTTGAATTTAGTTTTCATCCAACTTATGATTGCTTCTTTGATTTTTTTTTTCTCATAGATCTTTTGGGTACATGACTTTAAATATATTCTTTTTATCTTTTTTTTATTATTATTTTTAACTTGCTAGAAAGGTGTAAGTTTTAGTTAAGTGAAAAATTGTAGTTTTAACGAACATAAACTTGCTAATCTGGAAAAAGAAATATTTGCATCTATTCAAACAACACCTTCACTGAACACACAAAATTTTTTCTTTTCCTTTTCTTTCTTTATGTCAGTCATATCTTTTTCTCCCCTCTCTAAAAGGGTAAATTTATTTCCTTTTCTGTAATTTTGCAGGTTCAATTGCATTATGAAAATTTCTCAAGTTTCTCTTCTTTGTGTACTTGCCACACAAAATCCTCAAGGAAGTTAAATTTAATTAAAAAGCAAAGTGTGTGTTCTGCTATTAAAAACAGTAGTATGCATATACTTTCTTATCTCCCTTAATTAATACATCATATTACTTCCTAGATCTTTGACAACATTTAACTACCCCAAAAAAATCTTTCATCATAAACAATTAAGCCAAATCTATGCTATTAAGAATGAGATAAACAAATAGAAAAAATAAATAAAAATTAAAACATTCACTTAGAAATAATCTTTTCATGTTATATATCTTTATGTCCACTACATTATATTATAGAGTACTTATTTGTCTCCACCCATGATTCTTGCCTCTGTAAAAAGTTAGATTTATCCATCCCACCACAGTGAGAATATTATGAATGGGATCTTGTTGAGAAAGAACAGCTACCAGAAACAAAGGCCAAATGGACATCCTATTGTGGAATTCATGGAAGACTGAGGAATTTATAGTTTCTAAAGTCTTAAAATGAGCTCTACACATACTTTAAAAATACTTCAAATTCCAATCAACCTGATTTTAAGATAAATTTGGATACTGTGGGGAAAATGAATTCTGAAAATCATTTTTACAGACACTGCTTCCTCGGATTAAGAAAATAGATAATGCTAACTAACAATATATTTAACATATCCCTGTCAGGGGAGATGACTTCAGCTATATCTTTGAGCTCACAATTCCTCAGCAATTATTTTCAGATAATTTCAACTAAAGAAAAGCAATATCGGGCCTCCCTAGTGGCGCAGGGGTTAAGTCTCAGCCCTACCAAGCTATTGCCAGCCACTGGAGCATGAGTTTGATCCCCACCAGGAAGCTACTTAATATTTGACTAATTACTGTGTCTTTTACTGTCATATTTAGCTTCTACTGAGAATAGTGTACTATGTATGTTACATAAATAGTTGCTGCTAATTCATTTTGAATACAATATTTACCTGCTCTCTAGGTCCACTCTTCATGTGTCCTCAAAAAATAAGGGCTTCCCTGGTGGCCGTGGGGTTAAAGTCTCAATGTTATCAAGCTATCCCTAGCCACTGTGGCATGAGTTCAATCTCTGGCCAAGGAGCTAACCCACATGGCATAACAGATCTCTCCTATCTCGCTCGCTGCTCCCCTCAGCAGTGTATTTCAGTAGATCTGCCTGTTCTACTCCCCATTCTTTCTCTAGTGAATCCTCTCACCCCTCACAACCTGCACTTCTGGCCTATACCCCAATACTTGTATGCATAAATAAATAAAATAAATCTTTAAAAAAAAAGAAAAACAATATATATATATACTTCATTTTCTCTATAGTTATAAAATAACGAGAGCCAACCCATTCAAAGAACAGAAAAATAGCATTCTAGTAAATTGCATTATCAGGGAAAAGGCATTTTATGTTTTACATTACTTTTTGTTATCACTTATTAACAGCTCCTCTACCCTCAACTTTCCAATACCTCTAATAGGATTAACTCAGTATGTTCTAAAACATGATTGTCTAGTCACCTGTCTTTTTTAAAGCTAGCAAGATACCCATCAATAAAGTTTGATCTTAGAAATCAGGCAATTTCCACTGTGCAAGCAAAAGTAGACTAACAGAATAAAACTATTTCTGGAGAATAGGGTCAATCTAAGAGACAAGCCACATATTTGATGCAATCAGAGAATGCTCAATGACTGTGATGCTAACTAAAAAAGCACCAGGAGATCAAATAATCAATGCATATGAGGTTGATTGTAAAGTTTTTAAGACCTAAGCATAGCCTAATATGGATTTCTGAGGGATGAACACAGAGGCAATGAGGATAGACAAAAGGACACATTACAATATATAACTCATGCTAGTACTAGTAGCCCAACTGCTTCGTTTTCTGGAAAGAAAGATTAACATCATGTCCACATGTGGTCAGTAAATTAATATGTGCTTGAGTCAGATATTTAGTAATATAATTAACTTACTGACTCAAAATCAGGACAAGACTAAAGAAGCAAAAATAACCAACCAGCTGTGCTGCACTCCAGAAATTCAGTAGACTTATGAACTTCATAGTGTTACAAGCAGCAATACTGCTGATTGAGCAAGATTATGAATAGATTTGCAATCATATGTTTTTCATCCTTTTAAAATAAAACTTCTGAGAGGTTATAACATTCAAAAGTAGCCAGAGTGTGTCATAAAGCATTTATGCAGTAGCACATTATTTCACATGTTATTCTTGATCTTATAAAATTGAAAGTTGGCCAATTTTAAAATGACTGATTGCTATAAATAAAAACTACTAGGTGAATAAGAATATTTAATACACTCAAGCTCTATCTCTTTTGCCAAATTAAATTTGGTGCCATCCAAGTATTTTTCACATATCAAAAGCATGAAAACAAATATAGTGAGTTAGATGTATTGTCCAAACCCTGTTTCCTGGAAGCTGCCCAATTATCAGTTTACTGGTACTCATCTTCCATCATTGATTAAACATCTGCACGAGTATAGCTACTTCTGCTTGTACTTGGACTCTCTGAAATTTCTTTTGTGATCTATACAAGACGTGATTGCCTCTTAACACTCCTTTTATGCAGAACTGAGAGTATTTCCATTTATTTCCAGGCTATGTAATTTTTTAATTCATAGGAAAGAAATGTTAATTTCACATGTAACCTCTCTAGGTCACAGAATTCCCTAGAAAGATATATGTCTTAGATTTGTCAATATTCTCCACACTTGCCTTAACTTATAGCTCAGTATTCTAAAAAACTAGCCTCTCTTTCAATGGCCCAACAGATAAGACTTCAGAGTTCACTGGGCAAATATAATATTGGGTGCTCAAAATTTGTTTTCCAGCTATTTTACTATTTGTGCTATTTTACAATGATGTAATCTGGCCAAAATATAGTCTTAATAGTTTTTATTAGTGATATAAAGTAATACTCATTTATTTAACCATGTATTTGTCCATGCCAAGGTGTGTTGTTATAAATTTGTGCTAGATACAGATTACTCATCTAAAATAATAAAGTAAAACAGTATGCACTGTGATATAGGAAGCTAAAAATTACATCTTTACACATATAATAGATTAAATGAGAAAGAAACAATACGCATAAATTACAGACTAAATTATTCTTTTGCACCATAAGTTAATATTCAGATAAGTTCCTAACACAGATTAGCATTCTTTTTTTCCTTTGGCCAGTTCCACTGTGTGTCTCTCTGAACTAGCACTGAATTCCCTCCCTCATTTTCAGCCATCATTACCAGTGGGACCATACTTATGCCCCAATGACTGGGAAATGGGAGAAAGCCTCTTTTCTTTTCTTTCCCCAGAGGAAACCAATGGTTCCTATCTACTCCCATCCAGCTTTTGAGTTTGAAGAGTCAAGAGAACAAGGACCTTCTGGTATTTGTCCTTTCACTGGCATGGTGGCTAATGTCTCAAAGTTGCTAGGGAAACTGATGCATGCAACCTAGCAATCTCTGTTACTTTCAGGGGTGAGGTTAGTAGGCTCCAAATAGACCTAAAACCAAAAATTTCTGCAATACGTGGTGGTATGGAACAGGGTCATCTCCATTTTAGAGATAAGGAAATGGGGTCAAAATGATCAGGACATGTATCCTAGGAAACAGTATAAATTAAAGAAACACACAGCTACTTTAGAATGATTCCAGGATAATAGTTTGAACTGGTACAGTTTGCACAGAATCAAAGAAATATCTTCATGGTCATCCCAACCTTTGTGTATGAGAAAGAGTGCTTTAGTAT